ACTCGTGAACGGGTGCTGCTTGTGTGGACTGGTCTGCTCTAATCACTATGACTTATTTTCTCTTATTAATTGTTTAACCAGTTGTTGTGTATTGAATGGTTTTTCTATTTTATTATTTCATTGAATTAGTGCTAATTGGTAGTTTGTATTCACACACTTAAACTTAAAATGTAAGTAAGAATAAATTATTTAAAAGAGCAACACACAAGTTTCTTGCTTGTTCTTCTTGTGATGTGACAGCATTCCGAATGAGTGGTAGATTAAAAAAAATGTTATGACTATTCAAAAGTGCTTCAATGTAAGTTTATTTGAATAAATGATTTTCTATTCTATTCTATTCTACTATCAAGTATCTACTGAAATCTGCATTAAAATTCCTGGAGTAACTTAAAAGGTATAAGTGTAAAAACAGCTTTGTTTTATAAACAACTTTGTTTTATATGATACAAGATGTGCCCCGCGGTTTCACCTTCATTAAATATCAATACAAAATATAGCCTGTGTTATTCAGATGCATAAGTTATATTACTGTAAAATTTCATCAAAATCCGTTCAGTAGTTTTTGCGTGAAATAGTAACAAACATCCATACTTACAAAATTTCGCGTATATAATACTAGCTACTCGCCCCGGCTTCGCCCGGTTGTACATATCTTATACATATAAACGTTCCTCTAGAATCACTCTATCTATACATACATAGGGACAGACAGCGACAGCGACATTATTTTATACCATTTAATGATTGTACATTTATTACAAACAATCTTTTTGCATGTATATAAATATGTAAATACCTAAGTTTTAAATAGGTTTAAAAATGTAAGAAAAAGCGAATGAAACATTGATTATATATCGCGTTCAAACTTTTTTTATACTTATAACTTACCACAGTTGCGATAATAACAGGAAGCACTCATATTCTGTGTATCATGTATACAATTTGATTAACAAATATTAAACGTACATAATTATGTATGTACTTGTAAATACCTAAGAAGTTTGCAAGGGACTTATACTCATGGTTATAAGTAAGTACCTTCTTATATAAAAGTGTATTGCTAAATAAACACTTTTGAAACTCGTTACGATAATATTTTAATCGGAAATAAAAAAAAATACTTACAGTCAACAATATTCATGTGATCTAGACTGTTAGGACTGTAATCGATATTAATTACTTGGCATCATTCCAGTCCATCGCATTTGTCATAACAGTCTCTGTTGTAATGTACTAATTATAGTTATCTATACTAATATTATAAAGAACCCTAAAAATTAATTAACACGTGACATTCCCGATCCTACACTGTCTAATTAAAAATATAATACTCGTGTTATGGACAAATTTTAGTAGATAAGGACCAATTATGTACATTTTGATCAGTAATATGAATGTAAAGGTTTTTGGTTATTATGTTTCTTCTTACTGCTACAACAGCACAACACAATCATAACGAAATTTGGTGTACCTATATGGCATTTTTACATAGTACAAAAAAGTGGCCGCCGCTGTCTGTTCGCTTATATCTTTTAAATTACGCAACGAATTTTAATGTAGTTTCCAGCAATAGATAGAGTGGTGTAAGAGGAAGGTTTATATATAGAATAAATGTGTATTATAGTATAGATGCACCCGTGTAAAGCCGGGACGGGTCGCTAGTGGAGGATAAAGTAATTACTTTAAATTAGTCACATAGACGAATTTGTGAACAAAGCTTTATTTTATATTACACACAGAAGTAAACACAATAGTATTCCTCAGATTAAATATATTACTATAAATAAATTTTCATAAAAGCGACAGGGCCGTTGTGTTTACCAATTATAATTTAGATATTGTAGATCTGTTATTTCATTGAAAATACTACCTAATTTGACAGCCTTGGTGGTTCAGCGGTTTAGAACAACTTCTGGTGGTCGCGGGTTCGAATCCCTATATAGTGCAAACATTTGTATTCAAAAGTAGAATAGTTTGTATCGTCTGGATGTTTTCTAAGTTTAGACAACTGATTAATTTTCACAAAAAAGATTTTGAACTTCCCGCATATTTGAATAAACCTGATAGCTTAAACCAACATTTTCTTAATCTTCCTGGAAAAGAAGATGCTGACAGTAATTTAATTGACTATTTTAAAAATAATACTTTTGGTTCTGCTGTATTCACCTTAAAACCAGTAACTGAAACCGCAGTTTACAATATAATTAAATCTTTTTCATTGAATGCGCAAGGCGCTGACTGTATAACTTTGGATATGATTATGGTTACATTACCCCGTACATTAAATATAATTACTGCCATAGTAAATAAAAGTATTGAAAGCGGTGTGTTTCCTGATTTATGGAAATTAGCCAAAGTTAGACCTATTCCAAAGACGCAACATCCAAAGGATTTTAAAGATTTACGGCCTATTAATGTTCTACCTTTTATGTCTAAGGTTGTTGAAAAGGCTATTTGTATACAAATGACAAGATACCTCGAATCAAACAGTATCTTACCTAACAAACAATCCGGTTTCAGAAAGTCTCGTAGTACTACCACTGCTTTATTGGATGTGGTGGATGATATTTTGACTGCGCGGGATGGTGGTAATGGTACATTATTAACACTGCTAGATTTCTCACGTGCATTTGAGACTATTAATACCTCACTCCTATTATCAAAGCTAGCCTTTTATGGATTTGATAATAATGCTTTGCGTTGGTTTGCCAGCTATCTTTACGGCCGCACACAGTATGTTGAAACTAATGATGACAGTGGCAATGTGTCAACCTCTGCTACATTATCTGTGAACAGAGGAGTCCCACAGGGATCTATACTAGGGCCTATCCTTTTTATTTTGTATACGACTGATATTACTTACACTATTCAAAATTGTAATTATCATTTATATGCTGACGACCTTCAATTATACATATCTGTAAAACCGGATACAACTGAGTCGGTAGTAAATAGAATAAATGAAGATCTGAATCGCTTAGCCTCTTGGTGTGAACAAAATTGTTTAGTTGTTAATCCCAGTAAGTCGAAGTTCATATTATTGGGTTCCAAACGTCAAGTAACTGATATTAATGCACGTAAACCACAAATCGTTTTGTCTGGAAATCATATAGAACAAGTGACATATGCACGAAATTTAGGTCTTGTTATGGACGAGAGATTACAATTCGAAAAACATATTTTGGATATCATGCGTAATTGTTTTTACAGACTAAAAGTACTGTACAGGCTGCGTGAATTCTTATCTGTTGATATTCGAATCAAACTGTGCGAAGCGTTAGTGTTGTCTAAGTTTAATTACGCTGATAATGTGTTTGGGGAGTGCCTTTTAGCTCGAACTAAGAAAATGATACAACGTATCCAAAACGCATGTGCTCGATTTTGTTTTCCTATTGCTCGTCGTGCTCATATCACTCCCTTTTTGGAACAGAATAACTTGTTAAATATGTCAGCACGTCGAAATTTACATTTTGCTTCATTGCTTTTTGGCGTAATACACAGTAAAAAGCCCTCATATCTGTATGATAAATTAAATTTTTCAAAGCGTAACATAAGAATAAATTCTCTTTTACTTTGTCCGCGATACAGAACAGCTGCTTTTCGTGGTAGCTTCCAGTACGCTGCTACGAAATGCTGGAACAATCTTCCACCGCCAGTTAGGAACGCCAAATCATTATTCACCTTTAAAAAACTATACAAGAATTATCTATGTACTATATAACCTATAAATCTTACGGCAAAGTAGTTGTATATATATGTTTAATGTTTATATTTATTAATGTTATTTTATTCTATTTTATTCTTTCTAGTATATGTAATTGGTTTGTATTTATTAGTTGTAATTTTGTTTTAATTATTATCATGAATATTATAAATAGTGCCCTCTCTCTCCCCCCCTTTTATATATATATATTTTTGGTGCCACTGAAAACCAACTGTATGTCCACCTAGGACATACATTAAAGCTGAGTGGAGCCATTTCAGTGCATTTTTGTATGTAAAAAATGATTATTTTATGTTTATTTTTAATTATGGTAAATTAAGTTTAATTATATGTACATTTTATTTGCTCATTTTTTTTTTTCTCTCGTTTGTTGTTTATATTGTATTTTTGTTACATTGCACTGAATAAAATATTTTTTCTTTCTTTCTGATAAACTTAAATACATTTCTTTTATGTATTTAAGTATTTTTATCAGTTGTCTAAATTTCATTTTCTAACAGCTTTGTTTTACTTGGGACTGGATGGCGCTGTCGGAGTCGGGATAATACCAGGAGTCAGCATAATCTGATTCCTGGTATTATGCCGTCCCTTCGAAACTCTTTTAGTCATCTAAAAGATGGCTTTATATTTCCTAGTGTGATGTCTCATTGAGTGGAATAAGATTAATACGTCTTCTTACTTTTCTGAATCCACTAGTATTGATAGTTATGTTGTTAAATCTCTCTCTGGCTCCATCTCTCTCGATGTGCACAACTAGTACTTCGAAGTTTTAATTCAATAACTTTATTTTTACCTTAAATATCTCCTTTTTAACGTATCTCTTTTGTACAACTTATGTAGGTACGTAAACATACATTTAAAATATACATATATTTTGCATATAAATGAGTAAGGATTCTCATTTATTTATTTATATTTACTTGCGAGGACGCAAGTTACGATATAACTAAATACTAAGAAAGTCTTAGAAGGATTTGCTTGACCTCATTTTTGGTCACTTTGACTTCGATTTACTCTTTTGAATTTTAATATTTGTTTTTTAATTTCTTGGTAGTAAATAAGTCTAATAGAATCAACACGTTTTCTTTTTGCACTTCAGCTAACATCATATCGGACACATAGTTTAGCAGTATTGAAAGACTTTTCATTGAGAGTACTAGATTATAACACGACATACATATAGGACAAAACAAAGGTCTCAGTTTGATTAGTAAATTGTAATATTAAATGGTTCATTATTTGTAAGCATAAATTGTGAGACCCTTAATACGTCTACTACTGTTTGAGGTACATTGTGGTTAGTCATATAATTAAACTACATATGTACTACGATACTCAATATTAACCTACCTAATTAGTGGTAATATTCAGATTAACGAAGAAGCGTAGAGTAAATCGTATTATGAGAATCATTTACGCAAACATGTATTTAACAGCGTACTTATTGATAGGTATTTATTTCGCATTTTTAGGTTTTGGAACCATATTATGTAAGTAGTTTTTGTTATTTTTTCATTTCTAACTAATTAGAGAGAGAAAATTTAAACGAGAAGTTTAATTTTACTGGTACTAGGCATGCCAAAGTTATTATTAACATGTACAGTTTTTTTTATGTTAAGAACGTAATCGCTTTGACTCGTTTACTAAAATGAGTTTTTCGTCTTCATTTTTGATATCAACCTTTGTAGATTTGTGTTTTTTCTCCGTATTTGCGGTCATATCTGTCCTATTCATTACACAATATTAAAATCTGTATAAATGTCTTTAAATATTTATTCATATTTGGGTTACTTTATCTAACCTGTCTGTTATCAGCAACTAATCTATGTAGTTTTTATCCAAAGTAATTCCTAAGAACTTTAAAGCATTTGTTTCATTTATTGTTTGTCCCTGATATGTAGGTTTATCCCTAATGTTTAGATTTCGATTACTATCGCCATTTTGATTTTGAAATTGTATTTCAATTGTTTTTGATACATTTACTTTTAAAGCATTGACATATTTATTTTAAGTATCTAAATATATTATTACTATGCTAAGGTTGTAAACCCAGCTGGATTATATTTAACGGAACACAATAGCAGTGCAAAGGATTTTTCTGTTCATATTCTTGTGAATATGTACAGAAAAATCCTAATATTATTAATAGTATTGGTTTAAGGATATATTATTATTTGTTTTACATATGGATATGGTCATAGCTGATAATAAATTGAGTTATGAGCCATGTAATTTGATTATTCTAGAATATTCCTCTTAGAATTTCCTCTGTAAAAAAAGTCCATTTATTGAGGAAGACTGTGCGCTATACATCTACTACGCTCTATGAGCAGAGGTGTAATAAAAAAATGGTTTCGCGGATTAGGAATAAAGGAATTTGTTGAATTACTGATCTATAGAAGAAATTTACCTCTACTACATACCAATTATTAAAGTTGAACCGAAATTGTATTTCTCTGAGTTAGAAATCGTGTTATTTATGCTACATTTTTGAATACGAAATTATTACAAGACTAGTTAAGTCTTCAGAGAATTAATTTTAGGTTCTCCTTTTTCAAATACTTTTAAAATATAATATGTAAGTTTGCATAAGAATATTTGATATTGCATGTTTTACTTTTATTTACATATTCTTTCTTTTTTTAGGTTCAATGTGTTCTAATACGGACGGAGTAGTGGGAGAATTTTATTTACATACATGCATACTAGATAACGAAAATACACAGAATAATAGACAATTTTTTAATTTCTACCAATTCATAAATTATCAAGCAGGGGCAGGTACAAAGTAAAAGTTTTTTCCGCATTAAGACCACTAATAAACATCCTTGCTATGTATTTTTTTAAGGTGGATCTAAACAAAGATTTAAAAACGAGGTCGAAACTTCTCTTTTCTGCAGACGACATATGTAATCCTATTTAAACACACACTTCCTGTAACCTTATAGTCAGCAACAAAGAGTCGTTGTCTTGATGATGTGGGATAGAAGCTAACCTAGAATAAAGTATAGTAGTATATTTCAGCAGGGATAGAGTTAGAAAATTATACCTATAATTGTTTCCACACTAAATATTTAGTTGTCACTTTATACAATAAACTAATGTTCGGACTATACATCGTGCGAGTTCGTATTATTGTAGAGCCACTTTCGTAAGCACTGCCCCTCCCTAAGCAAGTGAACTAAATAAAATGTCATTTAACAACAATTTGATAAGCCTAAATCCACCCTATTCTCGCGTAGTTAACAAATTGTCTGTAATAAGATCTTGCGTCGAGATATTGCATGCGTTATGGCCCCATACATCACTTTGTTTATGTAGAGCCTTGTGAGCCGAGCTTCGACCCCTATTAATATTCTCAGTCTAATTTTATCCGTTAGGTAGGATTATATAATACATATACAGGTAGTTCATCATCTTTAACACTTTATGCAATTGTGAGTGCAATGTATATATCGATGAACAATGGAGGCCTTACTACATTATTTACCACCTGATATTCCATATTCACTTTTGCCTAATTACTGCCTGGTAATGAGATAGATTCGTGTTTGGATACCCAATAATACATATTATATACATATGTTGTAGGTAGGTTGCGCATTGTATCATGTTTTTTTGAGATTATATACATTTCTAAATAATATTCTGTTATTTATTATTATGTGTGTAATCTGTTATTGTTTATGTTTATATACATTATTATTTATATTTGTAATGGTAGAGCCATTACAAATATAAATAATCATTTTATAATAATTTAATAGTGTTTGTTTCTCGTATTATTTTATTATCGGTGCTTTTGTCACCGCAGAGTCAGTTCGAACTATAAATTTTTGCATGTAAAATTTATTCTGTATGAACTTATGAACGTTGGTGTCTCTAAGTGGCATAAAACCACTAGACTCAAATTATATTGCAATAGGTGTTTATTGGGTAAAATATATGAATTTCAGATATAATGGCAATGACTGTTCCAGACAAATATACATTGCAGTACAAAATGAGGCTTTACGGTTTTGATAATGATACAACGATGTCTTGTAATATAAATAATTGCAATAGTTGTAATCAGTGTCAATACGACACTAATTACACCAGACTATTGGTGAAACCATACAAGGGAGGTATGTACAAATAAATTTATAATTAAAAATTTTTAAATTAATTTGGTAAATTAGAATAATAATACTGCACAATAATTTTTATTAATGCGTTATATTTTATGTTCCTGTATTCCAATGTTTAATTTACTCCGTTTGTATATATTTAGTAAATTAGAATTAACAATAACTAATTCATTACTATTGTTTGACATAAATAATTATTGTCTCTGTACTAACGACACAGACAACGGCAGTTTTTTTAGTTTCAACTACATTATATTTATCGAATCAAGTATCCACGTTTGTTTTGCAGATTACGAGAGATTTTCGGATAATGAAGGCGAAAAAAATTTTTACTATGTTCCAAATTACAATAGCAGATTTGTTTATCTAGGATACGTCATGGTACACGTTGACTGTGAGTAACAAATCTAGGTTTACTTATCTTCATTTAGGTTTAGTTATTTCATTTCATCGTTGTAATAAGCTACAGAATACCGAATATTCATCGTATTTTATGTAGTTACTATATAAATATATGTATATAAATCTGTACCTCTAGCGAGTGGAGATTGAATTTACAATTATCGGAAGTATGGACGATTGATTATTGACCACTTTACAGGTATAATAAAGTGTAGGTAGTAACACCCATAAAATTAAAGATCAAATTACATAGAGTATAAGTAGAGATAGTTATAGTGTGAGAGTATTATGTCAATGGGACATTCTCCATATAAAGTAAATGATAATTTATTATTGTTTGAATTATAATAAGTTGGTAATTATAACAACGTACAAATAATTAATCGCAAAATACCATATTTATAATACAGGCGTTTTACCTTACAGTAAAACGCTTATTAAACATACTTACCTTATTCGAAACCGAATAAAACATGAGAGTAGCATTTCCGTTTCCGCTTTCTGAGAATATAGTGCCTCTCTCTTTTCCCTACCACTGCCACCACTAGCGCCACCTAGCGAGCTAAGTTTAGAGGGAGCGATATTTTGTTCATTGGAGGCGAATGTGGAAAAAATGGCAGTATTTTAAAATATTGGGCTTCGAATACAACTTGATCGTTATTCGAAAACATGAGAAGTGTCCGTTATCGCCTGGTGGTGGTGTATGTAAACGCCAAAGTGTGAAGATATACATATATATATATATATATATGAATAAGTATTAGAAAACAATTGTAGGATCTAGATGACCCAAAGTTCCAAGATTGAAGAATAAAATAAAAAATGATTTTATCATAGACATTTACTTAATAGAATTAACAATTACAACAAAATATTTATACTCATTTTAATTGATATAATCGAACCAAAATGTAATCTTTACAATCACTGCATTATTGTACTAAATTTATTTATTTACTGGTCTGAATAAACGCGTAATCAACTGACTATTTCGTGATGAAATTATTTCTCGGCGGTAAAACTGTGTAAAGGTATTTTCTGATCGCCAGTTTCCTCGTGCAAGAATATCATCCATAGCAAAATTTTCTGCCCAGTTCTTAGAAGCTACAGCTGATCGGAAGGTTCCTGGGGTGGCGTCGATACCGACTTTTTTCAGCAGCCTTTTTAACCATCCCCAATGACGGTGGACGAAGCTGGTTTAGTTAATCTTGCTGTAGTAAGAAATAAATCGTTGTAATTAGTCGTATTTCTTCTTGTTGCCGAAAGCTTTATTAGTTGCTTTATCCAATGAACAGGATCCAGAGCCCTATTTTGTTGATTTGTCAGTAATTTCCAACCTGATTGTTGATAGCTAACTGTATCCGTTTTGGAGCCATAGACGGGAATTAATATAACATCATCATCTGAAACTATGCAGTGTTCATTAGATATTTTAACAATGTCGAATCATGAACGCGTCGTCCAGAGCATAGAAGCAAAATCGCTGCTGTCTGAGCAGATGCTTTATACAAGCTAATGGTATCAGGGTTCTGTTTCGCCAAGAAGTTGGTTAAGATATCGATGATATCCCATGTTGGAATTTTAGTTGGTTTTGGTTTAGCTAAAGCTATTGCTTTTAATATTTGTTTCACAAGAAAGTGTGTGCTTAGTTTATCCCGATTGTTTGGGTCGCAAAAAGTTGACACAACAGACTTGTGAACATGTCTGTTGTGTCAATAGTGCTATAGGCTAAGTTTTCTTTGTGATGTAGATCCGCTAGATGTTTAGCCAAATCTGCGCCTTGGAGTTTATTAAAGTCTATATTATTAGCTTTTGACCATTTGAGCCATCTGTTCCATGCTGAGCGATACGTGTTTAGGGACGACGTGCGCCAACTAGAATTTAATAATGATACCTGTTCCTTCGTCCAGTCGTTGGGGTGTTGCGTCCACCCCCAAGTTTCTAGATCTCCAGACTCAGATCCTCTACATTTGGAGGTGGAAGTTCCGTAGAAGCGTCGACTAGTATCTTGTTCAAGTGTTTTATTGTGAACGGAGGTGCTAAGGTTCTGGATTTCAGATCCGATCACCAATACACTTTGTCCCACTTCGATACTACCATAAGGTACAGCCCTCGAGCTCTGTTCAGATGTGTCAGGACTTTTGGGATGAGATAAGGACCTCCTTCTTATCTTATCCCAAAAGTCCTGACACATATATATAATACCCATGCCAGAGGAAAGACCCAATTCCGTCCCAATGCATTGTACATCTTCGCCTGATTGTCGTGTCTGTCGAGTGTGCAATATTTTTCTACGACATGAGCTGCCATCGACGCGAATAAATCTATTTGAGGTCTTCCCCATTTGGCAAAAACTATTTCTGTTAGTGCAGGCAATAGATGCCACTCGGGAGATACATGGTTTCGAGACAGTCGATCGGCGCCGCAGTTGTATCGCCCCGGTATATAATAGACTGTCATCTGAATATTGTGTTGATCCAATATTTGAAAAATATCGACCGTTATTTTCATCAAGGTTGATGACTTCGTCCCGCCTTCGTTGCGCAAATAGGACACAACTGTTTGATTGTCGCATTGTATCAGGAGACGGTTGTATCGAAGCTGATAGCCGTATTCGATTAGTCCGTTCCGGATTGCTAACATTTCCTTTTGGTTACAATGTAAATAAACCTGTTCTTTTGTCCAGGTCCCCGTTATACTTATTTCGTCTAATTTTGCACCCCATCCCGCATCGCTTGCATCCGTTGTCAGGTAATGCGAGGGAAGTTAGGTGTGAATGGGCGTACTGTGACTGCAATTGTGTTTCCACCATATTATTTCCATTAAGCTGTCTTGTGATAATGTAATTATTTCCGTCTCGTCTAATTTCCAAAGCAGATTGAGTTGGGTTTGTAGGTGTCGGTAATTCAACCGACCCCTTGGTATCGCGAAGCTGGCAAAATTCAAGCTTCCGACGAATTTTTGAAGAGTCAAGATTGAAACTGTCTTTTTGGTTTCTGTTGCAGCCAATATATTTCTTATTTTCGTGATTTGCCTGTCGGGTAAGTGTTTTATATTTAGCCGTGTGTTCCAATTGATTCCTAGAAACTCGACGGATTTTTGCGGATGGAGAATGCATTTGTCCTTGTTTACATACCACCCGAGCAGCTTTAATGTCTGTAGGGTTAATGCAATGTTCTTCTTTAAGATTGTGGGATCCTGATGGGCAAGAAGAAAGTCGTCCAAATTAATCAACAGCCGTACTCCGTTTTCGCGTAAGTCCTATCCAGTTCGTGGCGGACGCAAATGTACTCGGTGCTGAGCTTAGGCCGAACGGAAGGCAAGTCATTTCGTGTAGTTTTCCTTCGTACATCAAGCGGAGAAACCTTCTGTGACCCATTGAAACTGGTATGTGAAAATACGCTTGATGGATGTCTATTTTGGCCAAGAAATCTCGAGGTTGTAGAAAGTCCGGCACTCGAAACACGTTTGTCAGTCTGAATTTGCCCGCGTGAACATACCGATTCAGATTTTTCAGATTGAAGATTGAACGGGGTGATCCGTCGCTTTTTTAATCTCAGAAATATTGTGGAGATGAAGCTTGGTGAGTTTGGTACTGCTACAATTACACCTTGAGCCAATAATTTGTTTATGATGGCAGATATTTTGTCTGATATTTGCATAATGCGATCTTGGGGAGTTGACATACAAAGTGGAGGCTTTTTCATGAAAGGAATGCCTTATCCTTTTATAATTTTTAAAACATGGGCAGGAGCACCGAGGTATTCCCACTGAAGAACGTGATGTTGTAGGCATCCGACGGAAAAGGCGTAGTCAGTATTTTCTTGGGTTGCTCCGATCCCGGTGCGATACTGGGGAGCGTGTTCTTTGCCCTCTATTGTGTGGTTCTCGCCTTGATGCCCGCGGTAGGCAGTGCCTCTTCGGGACTGAAATGTGTATCTCCTTGATTTGACTCCTCTATTAGCTGAGATATTTTTTGTAGAGCTAAACTGCTTCACTGGTGGTTTTTGCGTTTGTATAGTGCGGTGGTCGCGATCGGAATCGTTCTGCGGTGCAGAATTGCGATCCTTCTGATTGTTCCAGAAGATGCTCTTTGTACCTCCGGCCTTCTCTCGATCAGCGCTGAATTTTTCCGCTTCAAAGAGATTATCTATTGACGGTGGTATACGACGAAATGCGCTTTTATGAAAGGGATATTTTACCGAGGATTGTCTGTCAACGAAGTTGCTGAATTATTTCGGCCCCGTGACCGCAAACCAATTGTTATGCATCACTTGAGGCCTTCATATATTCTCCGTTGGAAAATATATTGTTGAGTTTCAAGTGTATTGACTCATAAGTAACGTTTTCGGTTTCGTGAACCCAGTTTAAGAATAAGTTTATCTCATTCTGTAACGCATCGCGCTGTTTCAATAGAGCATACGTTAAATCAGCAAATGCTCTCTCCATATTAGAGGCGGTCCGTGAAGTATCGTACCTGGTGATCTCGTCATTTGCTCGTAAGTTTACAAAGCCTGGTTGATGCACATATTGTTTTTGCACATCCGCGTAACGAACATTCACCCATTCTTCGTTATTGAAACGCTGCAATAGCTTTAACTGTTCCACATATGCAGGCGGTGCCTGTGGTACGTGAGGCTCCTTTGTTTTTGTTGTAAGCAATATGTTGAACTCTGTCCGGCTACCGTTGGTAAGCGCGGGTTCATTGGATATAGCTGTATCCGAAAGAGCGGTTGCACCAGTAAAGTTACCGCTAGATTCAGCATAATTGTCATCGCAATACAAATCTCCACTCACATTTGCGTCAATAACGTTATCACACTTGTTATGACAGAAATTTTCTTCATTAGCAGTGTATGACTGGCTAACTACTGACGCTGGTGTAGCTTTAATGAAACACATTTTTGACTGTTGGGAGAGGTCACAGGATGCTATCGGTGTATTCTGTGACCTCTCAAAAGCATTTTATTGCGTTGATCATGAAACACTCTT